TCATTATCTTCCTACCTGCTCTTATGAATGACTACGGCTGAAAAGGAACTTAATAAAAAATGCTGTATGTGATCCCAACAATGATGCCTTGAAGGGAAACAGGAAACACATGCGTCTGCAGACTTCCTGAATTCCAGGGACTTATTCCTTTTAAAAGCTCTCCTCCAGATAATCTCCAACAGTTCTGCATTGCATTACAGTGTATAGCAACTAGATGTATCTTCCACAAAATTCAACAGGCTCCTTTTGGCCCTGTCTGCATTACGAAAATGACCTGTTCCAATGATGGGCCCCCCTGGAGCATCGTAAGCCATGATTGAAATGGTTTGTCTGGTAATATTGATCGTGTTGAAGAATGGCCCAGTTGCTGAAAATGTCATGAAATTGAGCAAAGGGGGTCTTAGACAATCGGGGTGGGGTGGGAATGCTAACGCTAAGGCCTGTTAGGATGAGGAATATCGTCCGAATGGGAGTTGGATGGTGAGAAGCCCACTGATTGTCTAATCTAGTTTTAAATGATTCAGACTACTCAAGAATAAACATTAAGGAGCTCCTTCTGTGTTTGGAGGTAAAGACCACACCAACCAACAGCACATGCTTCAATCTAGTCCCAGGGCTACTCTTAAAATGAGTATGAGTTTAAATTGCGTGGCTCTTGAAATTCCTCTTGCAGCCATCTACCACCATCCTGCATAATCTATATTCTCAGGAGGGAGATCATCCTATAAGTCTTGCCGGGGTGGTGTTTCTCTAACAGGACTCCACGCACTACAAAATTATGTTAACCTAAGTTCCGTCAGCATACAGCCATTGCCGTAGTTAAATTGCTTTTGCATGTTCACACTACACTCCTTGTGTTGGCGGTGCACGTCCTCACCAGGAGCACTTGTACCGACTGTACTGTCAAGTGTGGGGCATTGGAGGACAGCTTCTGAAAGCCAATTACAGTTGGTGTCTGTGTGACAGGTTGGGTCACAGAAACCACCTTGGGACTGCCACCTGCTGTGCTAAGACTATCTCTAAGCCCACTTTCCCTGGGAGCTTGGAACTTCAGTACCTTGCCTGGTTATGCCAGACACGCTAGCCTGCTACAAACACAGACCCAGGTCTGAACCACATCCCTCAAAAGCTGCAGGCTTAAATGAAAACCGCTTAAGAAGTGCTCCTGTCTCCAACACCCAGATACCCAGTTCCCAATGGGATCCAAACCTCAAATAAATCTGTTTTACTCTGTGTAAAGCTTATACAGGCTAAGCTCATAAATTGTTCACCCTCTATAACACCGATAGAGAGAGATGCACAGCTGTTTACTCCCTCAGGTATTAATACTTGCTCTGGGTTAATTAATAAGTAAAAAGTGATTTTATTAAATATAAAAAGTAGGATTTAAGTGGTTCCAAGTAATAACAGGCAGAACAAAGTAAATTACCAAGCAAAATAAAACACACAAGTCTAAGCCTAATATAGTAGGAAACTAAATGCAGTAAATCTCACCCTCAGAGATGTTCCAATAAGCATCTTTGACAGACTAGACTCCTTCCTAGTCTGGGTCCAGCAATCACGAACACCCCTATAGTTACTGTCCTTTTTTCCAGTTTTTTTCAGGCATCTCTTGAGGGTGGAGACGCTATCCATTGAGCAGGATGAAGACAAAATGGAGGGGCTTCCAGGGGCTTATATAGTCTTTCTCTTGTGGGTGGAAACCCCTCTTCTCCTATGTAAAATCCCCTCAACAAGATGGAGTTTTGTAGTCACCTGGACAAGTCACATGTTCATGCATGACTCAGTTCTTTACAGGCCGACGCCATTGTTTACATGTTAGTTTGAAGGTTCCCAGGAAAGCTCAGATGTGAATTGGCATCTTCCAAAGTTCATTGTTAGTTAAGTACTCCCAATTACTTGAATAACCCCTTCACACTATGTTGACCAAATCTGTCTTATGTCTTCCTACGGCAAACACTTCAAATACAAGCATAGAGCCACCGCTCATAACTTCAGATATAAAAATGATACATACCTACAAATAGGATGAATATATTCAGTAGATCATAACCTTTGCAAAGATATGTTACACGGCAAATCTAGCATAAAACATATCCCAGTTATGTCATACTTACACTCATAAGCATATTCCTATAAAGTATTATGGGGTGCAACGTCACAGTCTACACTGTGTTGACCTAACTACATCAACATTGACTCTGTGCCTCGCCATGGAGGTGGAGTTATTAAGTTGGCATAGTGGAGCAGTTACGTTGTCAGGAGAGAAATTTTAGTGTATACACTTACATAGGTTGTTGTAGGCTGCCTTGTGTCCCCCTAACTCTAGTGTAGACCAGGCCTCTGTCTACCTTCTGACCTGCTGTTGAATTCTTAATTGGCAGGGCAGTTTCATGAGTTGTGCACTACTTTTAGGGCATGTCTGCAGCAAAGATGAGAGAATGGGGCACTTGCTGTTATGTACAAAATTATAGTGTTGCAGATGCCAGGGAGACGCCATAGTATCCTTCCTTAGTTCTAGAACACTCTTCGCTCACTCACACACTTTATTATTCAGTGTGCTTCTGTGAAAAGGACACTTATCACCCCTACCTACGGCCGTTTGGTGTGTCTTATGGAAAATTGTTCATCACACTGTGGAAGGCCAGAGAAGAGTAGAAGCCTGTAGTTCTGAAGGTATCGCTTATAGTGGAACCTATTTCCACACTGCTCCAACCCACTTCAAATCATAAATGCGCTGCCTTTGGGTTTTAAAAAAAAAAGAGCAATTCAATCTAAAGTGATGGGCGGGTATTTTCTCCCTACATGCTGAACTGTGCTTGAAATCGGCACTTTAGCTGGTGGCCCTGGGCCAATAATGTACAGCTGCACCACCATGCACCCTGGCAGGGAGATCCCAAAGTGAAAGCCACTTGGCAATCAAAATAGTACTAGGGGTAGGAGGAGAGCTAATTTAAGGTGTTTGATCTTTAAGCATTTTGGAGGCAGCCCCCTTCTGCTCTACCACATACAGCATCTCCTTGCGTGGCTGATCTCTGCTTTGTCACCAGCAGCATATATAGTAGCAAAGGAGTGTGAAAATATGGCATATGATTGTTTTAATGTCTATGCTGTGTGAAATGGCTGGTAGACCTCCCTTTGCATGACACCTTCTGTGAATGGGGCCTAGCTGAAAAACCTGCAAGGAAATCTTTGTTTTTCTTCGTTAGTGAAACTGAAGTATGACTGATTTCTGCAAAACTCTGAGACTGCTAATAGAGCACTGGGAAGATCATGTGCTTAAAACGTCATTTGGGCTTCTAGGCTGCTGCTTAATTCTCTGCCACTTCCCATTTGATTCCTCTGTGATCCTCTAATTTTTAAAATGGGGTGGAGGAAGATAATTAGAGCTTGAGAACAGGTGCATTTGGAAACACTCATTTTGAGCCGGTGTCTGACTTGCAGGATCTACATCTCTTGTTGGGGGTGACTCAAAGGTACATCAAGTGATGGGGCGGGTATGCATACTGTAGGGACAGGTAGGCTCTGTAGCAATATCCTGGACAAACTCTCCACACGAGGCTTATTAGCAAACATGATGGTTTTCAGTGATGGTCATATACAGATGTTGCCACATCAATCATTTAAGCCAGGAGTTCTCAAACTTTATTGCAAAGGGGGTTGTGACACTCCTTGGGGTCCTGATCCACAGTTTGAGAACTGCTGATTTAAGCCATTATGCACTCTTAGTCGTTACATGTCACCGCTCTAACATCCTCAATGCTGTTAGACTAAATAGTCTCTCTTAGAGCCCTGTATATCTGTGCTGTGATTTTTGGATCATAAAGTGACCTTCCTTTTTTTTTTTTTGGTTGAGGACCCTTGATTCAATTAGTAGACAATAGTCGACATATTATTCCTAAAATGAACTAAGATGGAAGCATTTCTTCTCTGGATTTAAAAAATAGGAAGCAGAAAAGTAGTTGACAGGGAGTGTTAGTTAACTATTTGTCTTCCTCTCCCTGAAAGCTACTTTTGAGGCTAACAGACTGGATTGGGTGGCGGGAGATCTTACTTCATTTTCTGGCTCTGTCACAGACTCACTCAATTTCTCTGTGCTTCAGTTCACCCATGTATAAGATGGAGATAATGCTCCATTTAACACTTCATCCATCTCGTCTATTTAGATTGGAAGCTTTTCAGTTCAGGGGCTATCTTGTGTGTGTACCATGTCTGGCACAATTTGGCCCCCAATTTTGGATGGGGCCCCTTGGGGCTACCATACTATAAATGGTTAATAAGGTGGCAATGTAGTCAGCTGGTATATACTGTACTGTATATAAATGAGTGCACTACCTGTTAATATATTGACAAATTTAGTTCCAGCAGGGGTCTGTGCAACTGGAGAATTTTAAAATCAAAACGAAGGCTAATTTTTCCTCAGACATTTAAATGCATTTCTTTAACTCCAGAAATATAACCCTTAACAGGGCTGACTAGTGGGACTGGATCATAGGACTCTGATGCTTACCCTGAACTAATGCTAATCACGGTGTTGAACGTGCGTGTGTAGTGAAGGCAAATAGTCGTGCTTTACAGCATAAAAATCACTGTTTATAATGGATCATGGCTCTAGTAACTTTAAGGATAAGTTAAATGCTACACTGTAGGCTCTGAAAGCTTTGTAAAGAGAAAAGCCTAAACACAGCTGGTGAAAGAGAGAGCGCTATGTTGAAAATGTAATGCTTTGTTCCCACTGTTCCTCTTTTCTGCTCTCTTAGCTTTCTGCTGCAAGGAGAAATGGGTTCTCTAAGCAGGATGGTGGTATAGATTAGGCAATGAGCAGTACTGCTACTCCTTTAAAGGTAGAGAATTCACTGGACAGCAGAAGTGTTCACGATTTACTGGCTGGGGTGTCCTCAACCCTATACATCCTGGGAAATAAGTGATATTGCAGTTTTAGCTTGATGCTATGTTGAAATGATTGTGAATAGATTCCTAACTGACTGTCTTTCTTTCAGGCTCAGAGAGATCATGAAGAAAGCATGTATTCCACAAGATGGAACAGATTCCCCACTGTCGGTTATCCTGGCTATAGTTGAGTCAGATTCCACAGTAGTCTATTATAAACTGACAGACGGTTTCATAATGCCAGACCCTCCTGATGATACTGAAGACGTGGACAATAAACAGTGGAGAAAGAAAAGAAGGAAGCTTTTGAGATGACTTTAAGACAAAGATGAACTGTTTCTTGGCCCCTTATTTTCAAATCTAAACAAATTCAGTAATTTGTGTATGTAAATTAGAAGGTACAATGGCTTAACTGCTGCATTGCAAATCTTCACTTGCTCTGCAGAACTCTGCTGACGTCTGCAGCATGCCTCAAAGTAAAATGGTTTGTAACATGTTTCAAGGACCTGACTTTTGTATAAGGCAAGTTACTCCTTCCTCCTGTCTTTTATTTTTTTATTTATTTATTTATTTGAGAAGCAGAAGGTTTCAAACTTTGTCCCTTCTTCACACACGCCCCTACATTTGTGGGAATGTAAAGACTTAACAGAGTCAGACCTATGGCATAATTTTAAAGGTAAATATTGAAATAAAGTAAACTGTTCTTTAGTGTAGTGTGGTTGGAGTGAAGGTCTTCAAACATACACTTCTGCGTAAGTTAAAAAGGCAGTAGTTTGTCCTACTCATGGCACCAAGAGCATTTAAAATATAAATTTCACCTACTCCTTCACTTTTTGGCCTCTTACTGCTATATTTAGAGCAAAATAGAGTAGGTTTTGTTCAGGAATATTTTCTTTTGGTTTAAATGTTTTGCAACTGGAAAAATGACATGACTATGATAATTCCCAAGGCTACTAGAAAGAGGCATGGTCCAGTGATTAAAGCCCAAGACAGTGGTTCTCAACCTGCGGCCCATGGGCTGCTTGCGGCCCATGGGCTGCTTGCGGCCCATGGGCTGCTTGCGGCCCATGGGCTGCTTGCGGCCCATGGGCTGCTTGCGGCCCATGGGCTGCTTGCGGCCCATGGGCTGCTTGCGGCCCATGGGCTGCTTGCGGCCCAGTCAGCACACAGCTGCAGCCCATGTGACATCCTCAGGGCATACAGATAGTATTGGATGCGGCCCACAATGGTGACTAGGTTGAGAACCACTGGCCCAAGGTTCAGCGACTCCTGCAATGTAACCCTAGTGACCAATCACTAAGGTCTAATCTACATAAGCAAATGTACATGTCACTAGATACTTGGAGGACTAGCTTATTATACCACAAAGTTAAACACTGTTTGTTACCCATGTGAATGAAAACGGGAGGGGAAGCAGGTTGAAGATCCAGGGTTTAGTAACGTGGTGTTAACTGTGTCCAGTCCTATCTATACAGTCCAAGAACAAACCATTTGATGAGAAATTCAGAGACCTCTTGTGTTATAACATGATCTCTCAACACAGTAAATTTTTGTGTGTGAATGGCTCCTTATTCTCTTGCCTCAGTTACCCCATTTTAAATATGGGTTCTATTACCTATTTTTAATTGGCTAATCTTTAGAGTCTTTTGAAACTGAAGACAATGCCTAGGAGCTACTAATTACACATTTTTTTCTATACCACGTAGGCTGCTGCAGCAGGTGTGCCAATTCGTGCACCAGTCAGCCACTCTCAACACAGTCTGACCATTACCTCCTCGGGTAGGGACCATGTCCTCCTATATGTTTACACAGCACCTGGTACAATAGGGCCCCCCATGTGAGTGTAACCCACATTATTTATATCTCCAGTGTAGCCTCTATGGGTTAAACTAGTTGCCTGAATGATGTTTCAGCTGGTTATAGGGGAAGGGGAAACAAAGTTTAAATTGTTGGTACTGCCATGGGAATTTTCCATGCTTTCATTCAGTAGTTTTCTTTAAGTTTAACTTTAACTTGGAATTTTTGGCTTTCTAATGTAAGTTCCATATCTCAGAAATGGCTTTTAAAGTATATGTAAAAATCCACCTAGGGTCAAGGACCACATGTGGAAAATTTCAAGCAAAAGGCCTGTTTTTGTTCAGTTCAGGAACAGGGGAGGATCTAGTTTCAGGCTCAGAATGAAATGATAGTTAACCTTTAGTCTCTCCTCAATAGGACAGACTAGAAATCCTTGGTGATTTCAGAGTTTAAGATTTTTAGTTTCACATAGTCAAACAGGCTGGGGCAGCAGCAACGTCTAGTGAGAAAAGCAGGGGGCAATATGTACAGCATGATACTAGCCCTGCCTTCACCAAGGTCTTGCTGTGCAACCCTGGGCACTGCAGTTAGGTCCCAATTTAGCAAAGCACTTAAACAGATGCTGAAGCCCTACTGAAGTCAGTGGGACTTAGGTGCACTTCAGCACATGCTCGGCTGTGTAGAGATAGACTTAAGTACATGCTTAAGTCCTTAATTGAATTAGAGCCTTAAACTCTGCAACTCCAGTGTCTCACCTCTAAAATGGAGCTACTACTACTTGCCTGTCTACCCAAGGTACCTGTATATTGTACAGTATCAGAGCACCTCACAATCTTTAATGTAATCCTTGGCTATAAGGTGCTAATAAGTGCAAATAGAAAATTTAATCCTGTCCCTGGTGGTGATATCCATCACTTATGTGCATTCTTACTACACAGCGTTTTAGGGTCAGATCCTCATAAGGTGGAAATCAATGTAATTCCATGGGTGTTACTGGAGTTACAGCAATTTACAGCAGCTTCCTGTAGCACATGAATACCTACTTCTCACACGTTAAGGTTTGCTCCTTTGCTATTAACCATTGCCTGTTTCAAACTGAATTAGGAGGATGGGATACAACGGATGGGCAAGTGCCCTGATCTGTTTGGGTAACTGAACAGAACGCATAGGCAGGCAATGTGTCTGGAGATTATATTATGTGCCTTTATGTATGTTTTCACACACACAAACAAAATGGTTGCTTTTTATACAGTCTCTTCTGACCTCTCCTTACAGAAAAGCTCCTTGTTTAGTCATGTGGAAATTAAAACAGAAGAATTTCTATCATTCTAAAGCTTGCTCCGCTCATGAGGAAAAAGCAATCTGTCTCTTTTTGGACTGCAGCCATAATGCATTAAAAGGTAGCTCTGTATTGATTCCTGATATGCTGAATCTGGCCATGACACCCATATTTTATGAACTCTGCTGTTTAGTCCATAAAGTACATCTCACACTTCATTTGGCTACATACCACCAGCTAAACTGTCCTCATATAAGCAATAAAATACTTAAACCCCAGTGTAGGTATGTGCTGGAAAAAAAGTTTTAGTTTTATGTAGAGAAGCTTGTAAAATACTCTATACAATGCAGAATTTATACTTGTGCTGTATGCCACTAACGCCATAGCAATTTCTCTTGCATTTGCCCTGCTCTCAGGGAAGCATTTGTATTTTGTGGTTTGCTGCAGAACTGATACATTAGCATGACTTTTTTTCTTTAGCTAAAAATTATTAAAACGAAGCATAATTCAAACCAACTTTTCTGTATATAGAAAAGTACCCAACTCCAGAAATTGACTTAGAGCAACAAACTGTATTTCTTTGATCTCAGTAGTTAGTACCCCACCACCACCAAAAAAATCAAAACCAAAAGATGTTTCATGTCTGTTAAAGCATGACTGTAGAGGTCTTTATCCAGACTCTCTATAGCAGAGCTTGCTTTTTGCATTTCCGAGTTAATGGGTTTTTTTAAAAACATTGCTGCACTTTCTATTCTCCATGTAACGGTTAAAGCAGGGGTGGGGAATCTCCGGCCCATGGTCTGGATCCAGACCACTGCTTCATTTCATCTAGCCTGCAGCAAGTCTCCACGCCGCAGGTCAGAAGCCCCAGCGCGCGCCCCCCCTCCGTCCCTGCAGGGCTGGAGCCACAAGTGCTGGGTTGTCAGAAGTCGGGTCAGCTCCACGCAGCTCCTGGCATGGCCCTGCAGCTCCCAGCGCCAGCTCCACAGCTCCCATTGGCCCAGAACGGTGGCACAGGCAGCACACACCGCGCACAGCCCCTTGGCCTCTGCCTAGGGGTTGGACATGGCGGCTGCTTTTGGGAGCAGTGCGGAGCCACATCAGGCATGGAGCCTGCCTTAGCCCCACTGCACCCCCAAATGGGAGCCACGTGAGGTAAGTGCCGCCCAGCCGGAGCCCGCACCCTGAACCCCCGTACCCCAGGTCGGAATCCCCTCCCGCACCCTAACTCCCTTCCATACCCCAACCCCCTGCCCCAGCCCTGAGCTCCCTCCCACACCCAAACTGTCTCCTGGAACTCATACCCTGAACCTCCTGCACCCCAGCCCTGAGCCCACTCCCACATTCCAAACCCCTTGGCCCCAGCCTGGAGCCCTCTCCTGCACCCTAAACTCCTATCCACAGCCCCATACCAGAGCCTGCACCCCAAGCCAGAGCCCTCACCTGCACCCCAACCCTCTGCCTCAGCCAGGAGCCCTCTCCTGCACCCTGAACCCCTCATTTCTGGCTCCACCCTGGAGTCTAGGGGAAACCCGGAGCCTCCGAACCCCCACCCTGCGGGGCTTTATGTGGCCTGCGACTGATTTTTTCTGTGGGTCAGTGGCCCCCGATAGAAAAAAAATTCCCCACTCCTGGCTTAAAGGTAAACAAAGGGTCATTTAGAAAAAATTAAGTTTAGATCCTTATTTGGCTTAGCGCCACTGAAAGTCTAGCTGCGTTGATGTCATATGCAGCCCCATTGCAGACCTGGAGCCCATTGGTACTGTAAAAATACAGAATGACAAGACTGCCCCTCAAACAGCATTGACTGACAGTTGCTGAGGATCAGGCCATTAGAATTTTAAAGTCCCAAAACATTGTTTATACATGCTGCATTAAAATGTTTCATTACTTGCTTTACTGTAAGTGAGAGAATATCTATAGTTGTACAAGAAACTCTGAACCTTGAGCGCTTGTCTGGGTCAGCAGCTTTTCAAGTTCACCTTTAATAGGCATCAAGATAAGTTTCACAGTCTACACCTTGCTCTCTTAAAGACTACTTTTATAGACTAAGTACAGTTTAACCAGCTACTTTTAACATATAGAGATGTTCTGGAGCAAAAATACACTTTTTCACTATTGTATCCATTCATGCCTCTCTGCAGGGGGATGTGTGTATTCAGGCCTACTCAGAACTATGAGATCTTGTTACAATTTTTCTTCAGGTTTGTCATTGTAATTGGATGTTCATTAATGTAAGTATCAATTCTGGTTTATGGAGTGTCTGGTTCTTTCAGGAGTTGATGGCTTCACCTCCCAAATTGTGTACTTTACATGACTATGTAATGCAGCTGTCTTGTGTACAGCAACTTATGTGAAAATGCTATTTGTTTTCTACGATGTAAAAAATTAATTGTGTGATTAAAATTAATTGTGATTAATTGCACTGTTAAACAATAATAGAATACCATTTAAATATTTTGGATGTTTTCTACATTTTAAAATATATTGATTTCAATTATAACAGAATACAAAGTGTACACTGCTCGCTTTATATTATTGATTACAAATACTTGCACTGTAAAAAAATTTTTTTTTCAATTCCCCTAAGTACTGTACTGCAATCTCTTTATCATGAAAGTTGAACTTACAA